GTTAGTCGATTGCTATTCATTGTTATATCTTTTTTTTGTATGTGTTTCTGCGCTGTGAGGTTAAGTGGTAGAGTAGCCAGCTGGATAAACTTCGCCTCGCAGTGTGGATGGATTTCTAAACACATTATTATTATTATATTTAGCTTTGTGAGAAAAGGTGATATAATTTGTATATGAATGATTGACCATAAAATGACTATAATTATTTCTTGAATTTTAATTCTTCCCTTCGCATCCCCTGGAAAGATTTTCCACAAGCCATTTTACGTAATAAAAACACTCCGAATGGTTTAATTTCTGCTATATTAGTCATTAATACGTGACGCGCGACTCATCCCAGCATTGGAGAAAGACACTGTGTGTCGAAATGCGCGTCATGTATTAATGACTAAGAAAGTGGAAATTAACCCATTTGGAGTGTTTTTGTTACGTAAGACGATTTATTATTAACAGAATGTAAAAAGCCCCATTAGGTTTGTCCTATTAAGATGGAAAGGCCCATTATTCAGCGTGCGGCCAATCCACCAGAGGTCGCAAAAATACGGTAACTTATTTTAGTATTGGAGTTTCCCATCTCTAGAAGGGTTTATCTCTGTTAGGGGACTACAGGGTGATTCTGCGTATACAATGCTTCACTGCCTAAAACAGAAAAAAATCGCAAAACCGAAACAAAGAATTGTGCCACCAACCAACTCATACATATAGTAGAGACCACATGGGAGTGTATTTTCATGGAATAGCTTTTCCAGAAATCAGGGGACTACAGGATGATTCTGGGCATACAAGATTTGAGCCCCTAAAAGAGGAAAAAATCGCAGAACTCAAACGAGGAATTTTGCCACCAACAGAGTCGTATACGTTGTAGAGTCCTGATAGGTATGCGCCCTTATGGCATATCCTTGCTGAAAATCGGGAGACTACAGGGTGATCCTGCGAATACTTATATGTTGTAGAGACCTCATAGCAGTGCCTCTTGATGTCATAGCTTTGCGAAAAGTCAGGGGACTATTGGGTGATCCTGCGCAGACAGGGCTTCACTACTTAAAACAGAAACAAAATCATAGGTCCCAAACGAAGAACTGAGTTGTAGATATCTCATAGGAGTACATTTTTATGGCATAGCTTTGCGATACATCAGGGGACTACGGGGTAAATCTGGAAACACAAAAGTTGATTTCTAAAAACAGAAAGATAATCGCAGAACTCAAAGGAAGTAATGTGCCACAAACAGACTCATATATGTTGTAGTATGGGAGTATATATTTATGGCATTGCTTTGCGAAAACTCAGGTGACTTCTGGGTGATTCTGCGCATGCAAGGGTTGACCCCCTAAAACAGAAAAGAAACGCAAGCTCCAACCCAGAAATGTGACACCAACAAACTCATACATGTTGTAGAGACCTCATGGGAGTATAACTTTATGGAATAGCTTTGCCAGAAATCAGGGGAGTACAGGGTGATTCTGGGCATACCAGTGTTGAGCGCCTAAAAACAGAAAAAATCGCAGAACCCAAACGAAGAATTGTGCCACCAACAGACTGATAGGTAGATCTGATAGGAGTACATCTTGATGACATAGCTTTGCGAAAAATCAGGGGATTACAGGGTGATTCCGCGTATACAAGACTTCACTGCTTAAAACAGGAGAAAATCGCAGAGCCCAAACGAAGAATTGTGCCACAAACAAACTCATATATGTTGTAAAAGCGTCATAGGAGTAGATTTTTATAGCACATGTTTTCGAATAATCAGGGGACCACAGGGTGATTCAGCGCATACAATGTTTCACTGTTTAAAACAGAAAAAATTGCAGATCCCCAACAAAGAATTGTGTCACCAACAAACTCATATATGTTGTATAACGTCATATGAGTACATCTTTATGGTATAGCGTTGCCAGAAATCAGGGGACTATAGGGTGATTCTGGTAATACAAGGATTGGCCCCCGAAGAAGAAGAAAAAAAAATCGCAGAACCCAAACTAAGAATTGTGTCACCAACAGACTCCTAGTTGGCGAGTTTGGATAGGAGTACATCTCACTAGCATAGCTTTGCGAAAAATCAAGGGGACTACAGGGTGATTTTGCGTATACAAGGCTTCACTGCTTAAAACAGAAGAAAATCGCAGAGCCCAAAAGAAAAGTTGTGTCACCAACAAACTCATATATGTTGTATAGACGTCATATGGGTACATTTTTATGGTATAGCTCTGTAAGAAATCAGGGGACTACAGGGTGATTCTGGGAACACAAGGATCGATCCCTTAAAACAGAAAGAAATTGCAGAATCCAAACGAAGAATTGTGCCACCAACAGACTCATAATGCTGTGAAGATATCAGGGGAGTACATCTTTATGGCATAGCTTTGCGACCAATCAGGGGACTACAGGGTGAATCTGGACATACAAGGGTTGATTCCTCAAAACAGAAGAAAATTGCAGAACACAAACGAATAATTGTGTCACCAACAGACTCATATATGTTGTAGGAAAGTACATCTCTATGACATAGCTTTACAAAAGTTAGAGGACTACATGGTTGTTCTGCGCATACCCGACTTCACTACCTAAAACCGAAAAAAAAAATCGGTGAACCCAAACGAAGAACTGTGCCACCAACAGACTCATATATGTTGTAGGGAACTCAGTGGATTTCTGAGCGATTCTGGGCATACAAGGTTTGGCCCCCGAAAACAGAAAAGAAAACGCAAGCCCAAACCCAGAATTGTGACACCGACAAACTCATACATGTTTTAAAGACCTTCTGAGAGCATATCTTCATAGAATAGCTTAGCCAGAAATCAGGGGACTACAGGGTGGTTCTGGGCATACAACAGTAGAGCCCCTAAAACAGAAGAAAATCGCAGAACCCGAACGAAGAATTTTACCACCAACAGAGTCATATACGTTGTAGAGACCTGATAGGGATACATCTTTATAACATAGCTTTGCTAAAAATGGGGGACTACATGGTGATTGTGCGCAGACAATGCTTCACTGCTCAAAACAGAAAAAAATCGCAAATCCCAAACAAAGAATTGTACCACCAACAAACTCGTATATACTGTATAGATGACACTCATAAGCATCGCAGAACCCAACCGAAGAATTGTGCCACCAACAGACTCGTATATGTTATGGAATCCTGATGATTACCATTTCAACGATACGGCTAACACCGTCCCGATTCCCTTTTGATTAACGTCGGCCATCCGGTTTCTAGTTACAGCTTTAGGTGTTATCTTCATGAGAACATTACCGCATTTTGCTATGTTTTATTTCTTATAAACTGAATATGAAATGTAATTAGGGTTGTTGTCATCCTGTTTTCAACCAATAAAGTTCCTGCAATAGTTTTGCACCGAAACCACACCGAGCTTCATTTCTGACGCTGCGAACAGGATCCCAGGCTTGGTTTCTGTCACCATTGTGAGAAATATCTAATAGACGAGCTGCCCAGCGGTGTCTCCGCGAAAGCCAAAGAGTGAGTTTCTGAGAAAACTGAAGTTAGTACCAGCGAAAGCCAAGAGTTACTATCAGACGTCGGGAAGGCCCTCCTGTTCTACTTGGACTCTCCGAGTGCCAATATCAAGTAAGAATTTCTATTCTCTTACTGGGAATTCTACCAGAAACTGTCCAGAACCATTGATTTGGAATCGAAGACAAGATGACCAGCCCCTGGATGAAGCAACAATTGATGTTACTGTCCTTGTAAGTAGTTAAGAATTACTATTAAGAAGATTTTGCAACTAAGAAGATTTAATACGTAACCATAAGAAGAATTTATCAAAAAACACATTTTTACAAAGAAGAGTTTTACTGAAGAATCCAAGTTTGCGTTTTTCAATTGAAATCTAATTTTGTGCGTAGCTTTAAGATTTGTTTTCACCTATTTTTTACTCATTTTAATCTTGCATCTTTTATACATTTTATTTTATGCCTCTTGTTAATCATTTTGTACCTATCGAAAGAGAAAGATCTCCTTTGAGAATGGTTACCTTAAATAAACAGAATGTCGTTCTGCACGACAATCCTCAATTAATTTTTAACATGCTAAAAGATTCAAATCCTATATTTGATGGCTATTCAAACAATCTTTCTACATTTTTAAGAAAGTCTACAGAATTTTATAACGCTTTACCTATTTCCTATAAAGGACATGCTTTAGCATTTATTAAGTCTAGATTACAAGGTGAACCTGCCGAATTTACAGAACAAACTAATGCTATTACTATTGAACATCTTTCTGCTATTTTAACCACTAGATTCAAAGATTACCAAACTGAAGAAAATTTGACTCGTCAACTTTTTGATATTCATTCCCAGACTATAGCATTTTACATTCAGAAATTTGTAACAAACTTCATAAATTACGAGAATTTGCTCGATTAAATTATCCTCCTGAAATTGCCCCAGCAATGATTACTAGATATGAACAGATGGCTTTAACCTCCTTTTTATGCGGAATCAATTCCAAATATCATTGCGTTGCATTACAGTCACCCCCTAAAAATATAGATGAAGCTAAGAGACGGTGCCAAGAACACGACAACCTTTTGCAAACCAAACAATATAAAGAGTTTCTCATCACTAGGTCTAAGCCTCAGACAAATAAACCTGTTAGACCGCCAATGCAGTCATATACGTATAGACCTAACTTTCCCAATTTTGCTAATTTCTCTCATAATCCTTCTACTTCTCGTCCCGCTATTACTTATGGACAACAATTTAGCAACCCACAATCATTTCACAATTCTCGTCCAACTTTTAGACAACCATTCTATACTTCCCCACAAAGTCGTCAATTTTCGAACTCATTCAAATCCTCTCAACACAATTTTGCAAATCGTCCACAATTTCCTATGAATAGGCTCCCTGTCACCAATACTTCAAGACAAAATAATCAAAATCATCCGACGCCTATGTCAACTTCGACGATCCAGTCACGTAGACCTTTTGTGAGACCCAATTTCTTTTCGAATAATGGTCAACGCCCTAACATGGCTGTTCAACAACTTACTAATAACGAATCCGAGCCCACTAATGAAAGCTCTTCAGAAAATGTAGCAAACCCCTTCGAATCTTACTATTCTGAAGCTTATTGTCCAGAAAATTCCGCAGAAGATCAATTTCAATATTATGAAAACGATTATTCTCAAGAAAATTTTCAGTCAACTCCTCATCAACAATCCCCAGAATAGACATTGATTTAAACTCTTATGAAAATATTCATCTCCCATATCTCTACAATTAATCTTTGGATTTACTTATTCTTATATATACAGGTACTTCTGCATCTCTTATGAATCCTCAAATTGCCTACGACAAATTTCCGGATTATATTTATCCAAAATGTTTTTCTATCAAAACAGCAATTGAAACCAAAATTGTTACTTACGCTTGTAAGATTCCTATCTTTGATGATCTAGGTATTCCAACAGAAGTTGAATTCTTATTACTCCCATGGCATCATCATCTCTTAGGTTGCTATGACCTACAGAAATTCCACAGTAATTTTTACATTTCCCATAATTTACTTTCCATCGAAAACTTTGAAATTCATACTCATAAGGAACCAATAAAAATTCCCAATCAGATTTTCGACACCATTCCTATAGACACAAATGCAGATTCTGTATTTACCCCCCCTGTCAAATACTCGAATTCAGAAAATTACACTCCTAGTTATATTTGCCCTGTCATAGATAAATAGATTCTATTTACTGAAAATCTCAAATTAATTGAAAGTCATAACATTTAATTCGAATCAATTTCCGATTATGAAATTTCGAATCCTAATCCCTTGTCCAAATCTCCAAACATGTCTGATCTTATTCGTACAGAACACATGAATTCTGAAGAAAGACTTCACATTTTAAATCTTTGTAAAAACTTCCCTCAAGCTTTCTTAAAGCCCAACGAAAAATTAAAACCCTGCACAGCTACTAAGCATTTTATTCGAACATCTAATGATGATCCTATTTTCGTTAAATCTTTTCGTTATCCCTATTTCTTGAAACAAGAAATTGAAAAACAAGTCACTAAACTTCTAGACGATGAAGTCATTCGCCCAAGTTCTTCACCCTACTCTTCTCCCGTATGGATTGTTCCTAAAAAATTAGATGCTTCTGGTATTAAAAAATACCGCATGGTTATTGACTTTAGAAAATTAAACGACGTCACTACTGAAGATAAATATCCTCTACCCCGAACAGAAGAAATTCTAGAAAATCTTGGAAAAGCAAAATACTTTTCGACCCTTGACTTAGCACAAGGATTTCATCAGATCCCGATGGACCCACGTTCTATTGAAAAGACAGCCTTTACAGTTGAAAACGGCCACTACAAATATGTTCGTATGCCTTTTGGTCTAAAAAACGCCCCTGCCAGATTTCAAAGAATGATGAATACTGTCCTCTTACTTTTTATTGGAAAAATTTGTTCTGTGTATCTTGACGATATAATTATTTTCTCAAAGTCCTTACAAGATCATATAGTTCATTTAAAACACATTTTTCAGAAACTTATTTCCCATAATTTAAAAATCCAATTAGACAAAATTGAATTTCTACGAAAAGATGACCCTTTCCTAGGCCACATTATTACTCCAGATGGTATTAAACCCAATCCAGATAAGATTAAGGCTATTAAATAATTTCCTCTTCCAAGAACTCTTAAACAAATTCAGTCATTTCTCGGTTTAGCTAATTACTATAGAAAATTCATTAGAGACTTTGCTTCTGTCACCAAACCTTTGACAAAATGTCTAAAGAAAGCAGAAAAGATTCCCATTGATTCAAATGAGAATACATTTCTGCATTTCACTCTATGAAAAAAGTACTTTGTAACCCCCAGTTCTTAGTTATCCAGATTTTTCTACACCTTTTACGGTCACAACCGACGCTTCAAATATTGCCCTTGGTTCTGTCCTATCTCAAAACGGAAAACCTATCGCTTTTCATTCTAGAACATTGAATTCTGCAGAACGTATTTATTCCACAATTGAAAAATTCCATTGTCGACTCTTGCAAACACTTCAGACCCTATCTTTTTGGTAATGCATTTACCATCGAAACAGACCATAAACCACTTGTTTGGTTAGCCAATCTCAAAGAGCCTAATCAAAGATTAGCTCGCTGCAGTTTAAAATTAGAAGAATGTAATTACAAAATAAACTACAAAAAAAGGGAAAAGAAAATCATGTGGCTGACGCCTTAAGTCGCATTGAAATTAATCATAATTCCGATGCTCTCGCTCCCAACACGTCCGAAAATCCTATGGAAATTGATGCTCGTACTACAGACACACAACATTCTTCACCTTAGTCTCATCCCAATACAAGTTTTATTTCAGAAGACAAAAACTTCTACGCTTAACCTAAGCGAATAGAATTTATCTTAGGTTTCCGTAATAGTTTCAGATATCTTGACGAAGAACGATTCGAAGCTAATATCACTGATCCCAATCAAGAATCCTTTATTATCGATTTTATTAAATCCAAATGTAAACCCACATTCCGATATGGAATCTGGTATCAGGAACCATTATTCTTGTCCCTACTTAGTCGAATTCTAAAGAATCATTTTTCTACAGCTCAGATTAAATTCGAGAAAGCCGCATTCAGACCTGAATACATTTCTAAAAATATTTACGTCGACAAAGTTTCTCTTTATCATTCTCAAAATCATAATGGTATAAAGCATTCCCGAAAACTTATTTACACTCCCAAAAGTAAAAAGATTATTCAAAATATTATTAATAAATGCGAAACCTGCCTTCGAAATAAATACGAAAGACATCCTATTACTCAGCCCATTCAAGGCCCATTTTTCAGTATTGCTCCATTTCAACTTTTATTTATTGTGCTTTCACTGTCGAAAAAACTAAATACCTAACCTTCTTTGATCACATTTCCAAATATGCTCAAGCCTATTACTTACCTTCAAAAAATCATGTTGATGTCCTTAATAAAATGAAACATTATTTTTCCCATCATGGATTTCATGCCGACCCTGGCGAATTACGCTCCAATATCATTAAAGAATATTGCCAAAATAATAATGTTGAACTTCACATCGGAAGCACTGCAAATCCCACTAGCATTTATCCCATTGAACGTTTTCACTCCACCTTAGGTGAAAAATTCAGATCCTTAAGATTAGGACGTCCCACTGACCCAGTAAACGACATTATTTTAGATTATATATTGATCTATAATCAATCTATTCGTTCCCAAACAAAATTGACCCCTTTCGGCTTGTTATATGGTCACCGTGAACCTCTTCAGACTTATGAAGAATTTCAAAAACAACAATCCGAAAGACGAAAATGACAAAATTTACAATAAGACTTTGCAAACAACTGTTAAGCGCAACGAGAGCTCCAAACCTTCCAAAATCCCTGTATTAAAAGGCCCTATTCACATGACCCCCCTTACCGGTACTAGACGTCCAAAGAATTTACCCAAATATCAAAAGCACGAAACCTACAAACAAAATGGAACCCAAATTCAGATTAAAGATCGGAAACATATGATTAAAAAGATTAAACCACCTCGCATTGTTTCAGATGTGTGACGACCACCATAGCTGTCCACATAGTCTCGGAACATTATTTGCAACCCATACAACAGATACGTTCAGGCAATGCAAGAAATATTCATCACTATCACAACGTCTATTTCTCCATTTACCTCACTGATATTTCACATACCATGTAAATGTTTTCTGACCTAATTGAATTACATAATAAAATTCCCACCAGCTTAGATAATCAGATTCAAAATTTATACGAAGACACCTATTCCAAGTTCGAAACTCTAATACAGCATAGAATCAAACGCGGACTTATAAACGGTCTAGGTTCTATAATTCGCTTTATTTCTGGCAACCTTGATCAAAAAGATTTAGATCTTATTTTGAAAAATCAGAACGCTTTACGAAATAACCAGAATAGCTTGCTTGAAAGTCATCAGAAAACTATCACGTTTTGCAAATCTCTTCAAGAAACTTTTGAAAATAATACTAGAAGAATTCAATCAATTATTATTCATAATGTCCAAACTATTGAACATCAGTCTTTGTTATCGGTCCGTACCTGCCCAGTTTAGCTCAGCAGCTACTGATCTGTGCTCCGTAAATCTATAGGATTTTATAGTGAATTTAGTTAATTTTTCGTTTCGATTTCTACGTAGACATTAACAGCTAGCATCAGACTGTAAGTACTGCATTACAGAATCCTGAAATAATTTGTTTTCAACATAAAGTACGTGCATAAACAAATCGCTACAAACTAGAACCATCCGTTTGCTACGAAATTCCAAGGAATTCCACGTCTGTTCACAGTCGGGGACAGGTCCGTACTGGAAATGGTGCAAGGAAGGTTTGAGTCAGAAGAATACGTATACTAACAATATGGAAGGCGTTAATATTCCTACAGAAACTCAAAACAGCAACTCACCACTAAATTACTCCCGAGCTCTCAACCGTCAGATATCCAAATACCCTAACAAGGAGCAGGCTATAATATTTAATACAATAGATGGAGCCCGAATACAAGATTATATCATCGAATTAGGTCCTCTAGTTGAGCCAAAAAATATCATATTCTGTTCTAGAGTAGCAAATAACAGAATATGTGTTTACTTATCCAGCAAAAACGCAGTCGATGCATTTTTGGACAACCATGGGAAAATCGTTGTTCATGGTGAAACTATTAAGGCGAGGAGATTAGTCACACCATCGGATCGTTTGGTCATATCAAATGTGTCCCCTACTATTCCACACAATATTATTCAAAACTGCTTGGAGCAGTTAGGTCTCCAGTTACAATCTCCCATGTCATTCCTAAGGATTGGGGCCACTATTCCAGAGTATAGTCATATACTCAGCTTCAGACGTCAAGTATACATAGCTCCCACCGAAAGTACCATACCAGAATCCTTGGTGATTAGTCATGAAGGGTTGTCATATCGCATATTCTTATCATTGGACAGCCAAAAATGTTTCAAGTGCAACCAATCAGGACACATAGCCAACAATTGCAGATCTACATCCCAACCATCGACCTCAAACATGGATGATACCGTCCTTCCCTCATCCTCAGTAAAACCCAATAATAACATGTCTAGCAGTATTCAACTGGAACCCACTATCACACAGGCAGCCGAAGTTCGACAGACACAACTGCCAATCTTAACTGA